TCTTGATAGCTACTGACCTACAAGAAATGCAAACCATGCTTGTAGAACTTCATACCGAATCTTCTAAAATAGGACTGAAAATGAATTTAAACAAAACAAAAGTCATGCACTCCGAAGACACCGTGACAATAATAAACGATAAAGTTATAGAAAAAGTTGAAGAATATATATATATACTTGGGACAAAAAATAATCCTAAATATTGAAATTCAAACTGAAGAAATAAAAAGAAGAAGAAAGTTAGCTTGGGCAGCATTCGGTAAACTGAACTATATACTCAGAAATCAACAAATTCAATTACATCTTAGATCTAAAGTTTTTGATGTATGCAATATTCCGATATTAACTTATGCGGCACAAACATGGACAATCACAAAAAAGAATATGAATATACTTAGAGTCACTCAACACGCGATGGAAAGAGCACTGCTAGGTATATCACTTAAGGACAAGAAAACAAACACATGGATAAGACAGAAAACCAAAGTCACCGATGTGGTGCAAAAAGCATTAAAGCTGAAATGGGAATACGCTGGACATGTAGCTAGGAGCGATCTAAACAAATGGCACAGATCAATTTTAACCTGGAGACCATACCAACACAAAAGACCCAGAGGCAGACCTCCTATGAGATGGACAGATGATCTGAAAAGGACTGCCGGGAAAAATTGGCTACAAGTAGCGTACAATAAAAACCAATGGAAAGGAAGACTTGAAGAGGCTTATGTTCAGATGTGGACGTGAATGGCTAGACAAAGAAGGTGCTTGAAAAAGGAAAATATAAACGAAGAGCTTCCCGTGCTACACTAGGATACACTTTGAAATATTTTAACCAAAATGAAGGTTTATCTGTTATATCAAAGTTGTATTTGACAGAGGAATCATGTATTATTTGCAAAGCATCTTCTTGAAATGATTCAGATAGGGAGTCTGTGTTTACATGAAAGGGGTCAATTAACATTCTAAAAATATTATCGTCACAAGTGTTTGAGAAGTATTTCTGGAACTCTTTAATAAGGCTCTGCAAATAATTTGATCTTTGGATTTTCAAACTTGATCCTTCATAAATGTCCTTGGAGCGTGTTTCTTCTGAGATTGACTCTACTTTAGGGGAACTGGAATAGTTGCATGGGTTTGCTGATATTTTACGCCTCCAAAGATACAATTTCTCAATATAAATCTTAATCTCATCACTATGAGTAACTATATTTGAGTCTCCACTCTGAAGTTTTAGGTTAAGGCCGTTCAACGAGTCAAAGATGTCTGACAAATAAGCCAATATTACTTGGGTTCAATGTTTTTTGAAGGCCACGCTTAGTTCATTTTGCCTTTGGTGTTCGAAGAAGGTGATTACTTCATCTCGAAGGTCAAATAATCTTGCCAACACATTCTTTTTGAGAGCCATCGTACTTCTGTATGAAACAGTTTTACAGTTTTAAACAGTTGAGTATTCAACGCATTGTTTTTTCATGCAATTTACTACTTTAATACACAATTTTAAGACAGCATTCAGTTCATTTGAAAGAGTTTTTGCTGCCAAGTCTTGTCGATGTCTAACACAGAGTATCCCAGTCACATCAGCATTTTTCTCTTTTACTAATTGTACAAATTCTGAGCGAGAACCAAGCATTGAAGGCGCGCCATCCGTACATACACCGATGAGTTTTTGCCAAGAGAGTTTATGTTTGTCAAAAAAGTCTGACATTGATTTCATAACATCAATAGTTTTAACTATTAGCTAATAACATCGTGGTCTCCAACTCTGTAGAAAAGAGTAGCTCGTCTTTCATTCTTTCGTTGTCTGTACTCTCGTCTAGTTAAATAGCAAAAAATGGCGATTGTTTTATTGCATCAACTACCTGGTTTTGTATGTCTTCGGCCATATCATCAATGCGACGTTTCACAGTATTATCAAAAAAAGGTATACAAAACCCTTATACAACCAGTGCTGACATATTGATCGGAGACATGGACCATTTCCAAGACCTGCTTATATTTGAACGAAGGATCCTGAGAAGAATATTGAGTGGCATCTGTGAAAATGGTGTTTGGAGAAGGAGGTACAACTACGAGATATATCACAGATATAAACATATGTTTGTGGTAAAGACGTAGTATCTCTTATAAAAATAGGAAGACCAAGATGGCAAGATCATAGCAGAACAACCCTTCTAGAAGAATTCTTATGTCACAACTTGTGGGAAGTAAAAGTAAGGGTAGGCCAAAACTCAGATAGAGGGATGGTATAGATGAGGATGGTAGAAAAATAGGCGCAGCAAACTGGCAACAGTTGGTAATGAATAGAACTGACTTGCGTAATAAACTTGGGAAGGTCGAGGCTCTTTTGTAGGGCTGTAACACCAATGATGATGATGACTACCTGGTTTTGTATGTCTTTGGCCATATCATCAATCAACGTTTCACCGTATTGTCAAAAAGAGGTATTTAAGATAACTTTTGCTTACTCTTTGTTCTAAGAATACTATCAGCTGCCTTTCTGCCTTCTTTTTAGCAATAAGAAGTGATAACTTATATGAAGCTTCAACCACTTTTTCAGATGACTGAGCCGTAGAATCAGTACTATCCAACTTTATGCGTTTTAAATTTTCAGATTTTGTAGCAAAAAATTCCTTTGGTTTGTCCCTAAAAGAGTTATGTTTGGATGACAAATGTCTTTCAAGACGACTGACTAGGTCTCACTATATCATTACTTAATACTTAATAGCAAATTACACACTGATGATGTTCGACACTATCTGTACGCATAAAAATATACCCATATTTGATATAATCATCATTATACGTTCGTTTCTTTGCTGAGCTCATCTTGACTACAAAAACTGCTCTTACCCAAATCCAATCCAATCCCAAAAACGAAATAAATGAAAGTAAACTACGATAATAAAAATTTCACAATAGTGCAGGCTTAACTGAGGTATCTCGACCCTGAGTCACAATTGATTAGCTGCGGTTAGCTGGCTTGAGTTTTGTTGAGGGTGGCAAGGAGAGAGGCAATGCTTGGAAACGCTCGGTTGTCAAATGTGCGCTATTGCCACATTAAACGGCTCACATTCCATTCTTTAAATCATTTGATTTTAAATTTATGTGTAAAGTCAGATGTTACAGTGGTTTGTTTTAATTTTCTAAACATCATGGTTAATTTAGAATTTTAACAATACTGCCTATATTATATTAAGTTTCGACTTGACCAGCACCCCTCCCCTGACATATCACGGCCTTCTTCCCAGCGCCACCCACTTTGAGTACCCCTGGTCTAGAAGGTAAAACAGCTATAGTAATAAGAATTTATAATAAACACTTTGTGGCAGTTTTGAAAACAAAGGTTTTCAGTGTTTTTATTGTTATATTATCTACTCAACCACTTTCTTTAACAAAATTTTTAGCGGAGTAAAAATACCAGATGGTTGGTTGGAGTCACTGTTTTATAACATAACCAAAGAAAAGTAGGCCCACCAAATGTAGCGATTTTAGACTAATCAGTTTGATGAGGCACACACTTAGACTTTATACAAAATTATACGAATTATACAAAATCAAGTATTCCTTCTGTGTAAAAGTAAAATGGAAAATAAGCAATTTGGATTTAAAAATGGTCTAGAAACTAAGAAAGACTATTTTGTATGCGCGTCCTCTTACAGAGCTCACAGCTGTGAGTTCCAGAAAATGTTTATGTTTGTTTCAAGTTTGTTACAATCAGGAAGCCTCTATTCAAATTGAAGATAGCCGTACTAAAAGACTACCCAACAACGTGGAGTTAAACAGGTTGTGTTTTGACACCCAGTCCTTTTAATCTATACTGTGAAGAAATCTTTATGCATCTTTTGGATGACAAACATGAGGGAGTAAGAGTAGGCGGAGAAGTAATCAATAACATCGGATACGCTGACGATACAGCCTTTCTTGAAACATTTTTTTAAGATCCACAGACATTAGTCAATCTAGTCAGTGAAGCAAGTTATCGGAGAGGCCTTAAAATTAATGCTTCAAAGGCAAAGTGGATGACGGTTGGAAAGATTAAAATAGAGCAAGGTTTGCTGTAGCTTAATGGACAGGAGATAGAACGTGTAAACCATTTTAAATAGCTCGGCAGCTGGTTAAATGTAAATTGTGACTCCGATAAAGAGATAATAACCAGGATCGAAATATCACGTAAGGCTTTTATGACCTGGAAGAGTTTTATGTAATAGAAACCTATTGATGCATATTCTTAAGAAGGTTCTGAAATGTTATGTGTGGTCTTTCCTATTATATGGTTATAAAACAGAGTGAACATCTAATAAGACTAACAACTCTCTAAATCTAAACGTGTACTGGTTTACCTTTTAGAGTTATGAACGTGATATAAGCCCGTCATACAAAACAAAATAAAGTACTTCACGGTAAAATATTAGGCAAAATTGGGTTCAAAACGGAAAGCCGATGAACGACTACAGGAAAGTCTATAGATCGAGCAGTACGAAGTAGAATTGAATATTTGCTTGCACTAGAAGCACTAATAATTTTATTCTGTTTGGGTTAGGTGTATAATACCTCTCATAATACAAGGAAAGGTAGAAGGCCGAAGATCATAAAGAAGATCCCCAACAAGATGTATAGATAAAATTACAGGAATATGCCAAAGACCTATGCATGAATTAAAAGAAATGACCAGAGACAGATATCTCTGGAGACGGACAATACACGACAATACGTCGACCACTACCCTCCCCCTGGGAGGTCAGGATTGAAGAGAGAGGGTTAGGTGTATAATTAAAAAAGATCTCTAAATTCTCCATGAGATAATTGATGACTTTTAACTAGAGTAAGTACGTATATAACTTCTTGGTTGAGTCTGATAAAAAGAACATTACGTTCACTGCCAGAGGCAAGTACGGTCTCGTTATATAAAAGGTGAAAAATAAAAAAAATATATTAAACATTAGTTATGCTAAAAGTAAATGAAATATCGCTTATACTTTTTATAAATTAAAAATTTTTACTCTTTTCTGTTGTGCATGTGGGTAAAGCTCGTCCTGGTATGTACGCCTTGAATTACATCAAGAACTTCCTTATTACTGTTTATCGTCATGGGGTCTTTATCTTTTGCTATTATAATATACAGTAAAATCACATAAATACCAATCATTAACAAATCTTCTAAGATAACTAACACATTTTGTCGCTGCTCTGCCAAATATTTAAGTTCCTAAAATTACAGTTAGGTAAATCACCTGTTGAATAAATCAGTAATATTAGTAAATCACACTTAAGTAAATTACAGTTTAGTAAATTACCACGGGAATATCAGCATAAATTGCCATGACCTGCAAAAAATAGATAAGTGTTTCAACAAAAAACACATTTTATTAGAGAATCATATATATCAGGTGCCAAGGATATAAAATATACCATATAATACACCCAAATAATTCAAAAAAGGGAGTAGCGCGATTATTATAAAAGAAACTATTAGACAGAAACAAAAGACGGGTTATTAGCCAGAATAGTTTCAGCAAAGAATATAGACGCTAAGCGTCTATATTCTTTGGTTTCAGGCAACAGCTATTAATATAACCACGAAGGATTATATACTTATCACTGTGGCATTTTATTATCCTTATCGACATGTTCTAAAAGAGGAAAGCTATATAAACTACTTGATGGAACAATACAAAGCGATTTTAATGCAAAAAAATTTACTTTGGTTTCAGATTTACTAAAACTAGAAGTAAAGAGCCGCTGAATGCAACAAAATGATTAAAATGCGATGTTATGTTTAAAGGAAATCGGTCACATTGGCCAATACAGAATTAATTAACCTACCTATGTCATCAAAAACGTTACGTCTAACTATACAGGATGGTCCTTAAGTAATTGTACAAACAGAAACCGGATATTCTGCACTTTCAAATATTACGATTTAAGCCAACTTTCTTTAATAAAATGTTTATATAGAGTGTTAAAATGGAAATTTTAAATTTTATTTTTCGCAACTTTTACATTTGTAAATATTTTTGGACAAAAATTTACAATTGGATGTGGGGCATACATTGCGCTTAACTTTTTTGCTTTTTAGGTTAGCTCTATTTGTGTTAGAAAACATTAAAGATACATTATTTTTACAAAGAAAAGGTATACTTGTTGGTAACCTCAAAATTCAACCGCTTTCGAGATAATCGTATTTTATAAGTCAGCTGCATAATAATACTTAGTTATTGAAATGAGGTTGAATGCTCGAATAAATGAACTTTATAACTGGGAATAAGCCACAATTAAAGATAAAAATACGTTTATTGACGTTTCAATTTCCAATTCGGAAATAGTTCTCAAAATACAAACAGTCTGTTTGTATTTTGAGAACGATTTCCGAATTGGAAATTGAAACGTCAATAAACGTATTTTTATCTATAATTGTGGCTTATTCCCAGTTATAAATAGTAATTAATCTACTATCTGTTTTTGTACAATTACTTAAGGACCACCCTGTATACACGTGAAAGAAGCATCGAATATGAATTCGTACCATTTATATATTCTTCTTTTTCTGAATGACTTTATGATATAGAAAGAAAACCCACTATGACTTTATCTTATTAAAAACTCATAAAGAATTGGATGAAACCAAGAAAGAAATTACCAATAACATCCAATAAGCAGCTTAACATAATAATCCATCCAATGCACAAAGAACTAAAGGCAACAAGTATTAACTTAAATAGAAATAAAAAAAATCAAACATTTTCAACAAGAATTCATAGGGAAGTATCTGAGTGAATTAACCGCGCACAAAAATATTGATTACTTCCTGTAAAAATTACCTACTAAAACGTTCAAAAGTCTAATTAATCAGAATCCTCCCATTGGGAATAACAAAGCCACCAGCCCTGCAGTCATAAAAAATTGATAACGTTTGCGATCAGTTTCTTCTAAATATGCCTATCTTCTAGATATGTTGGTGACCACATTGACCCATATTATTTAAATCACAGCAGCTCGAAATAGATCAGTTGACGTTAAACCAGTTTATCCCCTAAAATTGGCCAGCCAGGATATATGTCTACTTCCAGGGCCTCTCTTACGCTCAATCTTGCCCTGTAGAATTAACTGTAGAAGTCGGTATTTATCATTGTTCTGAAGCTATTTTCTTGTGGCATTTTAAATTAATTACTATTTAACTGGGAATAAGCCACAATTAAAGATAAAAAAAATACGTTTATTGACGTTTCAATTTCCACTTCGGAAATCGTTCTCAAAATACAAACATTATTTAATGTATTTATTATATATATTATTATTTATTATATATGGTACTTATCGTTACGCATGACGTGGCCGAAGTACGCCAATTTTCTGTTTTTTATGGTGTTAATAATTTCTTTGTCTTTTCCTAGCCTCTGGAGTATAGTTATGTTACTTATGTAGTGTGTATATCAGACACTCAACATACATCGGTAGCACCACATTTCAAATGCCTACAATCGTTTTATGGTATCTTCTATAAGGCTGTAGCTTTCTACTCCATAGAGGAGGACAATAAAGACGTAACATCTTAGAATATTCATATGCGTATACTGATACTTAAAGATAAGTTGCAGAGAATCTTTCTAAGGCTGTTGAAAGAGCTTCTGTATCAGTATCCTTAATATTGCAGCCCAAATAGCATATTTTTCCACTCTTTCTAACGGTGTGTCGTTAATTGTAATTTGGGAATTTATTCCGGTGTTCTTACTAATGATCATTATTTTTGTCTTCTTGCAATTTCGTTTTATGCCATATTTGTTACATGATTCTACAACGGTATCCATCATCCATTGGAGCCCCTGCGCACTATTTGCCAGCAACGCCTAGCCTTTTTTTTCGTCTTTATAGAGAGGGGGTCTGGAATCTTCAAAAGACATCTCAGTCCAGGACGCCGCCTGACTCACCTTAGTGCAGGATTCGTTCTTCGTACTCCCCGCGATAGTTCCCGAGGTACTTTAAAATGCCCTCTCGTCGCCGAGTCTACGCCGAACGCCTACCTGCTAAACCAGACCCTTCTCTGTCATCCAGCGATCCGGAAGCGGAATGGCCGCTGTAAGGCCCGCATCACTTCCGAAGCACTACCTTTATTCATTCATTCTCCATTCATACACATCCACACTCCTAGTTCGGCATCATTCTCAGAAGGGCACTTCCTTCTTCCCCACAGTCAAAATCACGCATTCTAACTCAAAAAGTGTGACCCACTGTTCTAACTTTACCTTTCAGCATCATTCACTCTACCTTTGCCGTTGGTCCAGCTGTCTTTCTTCCTCTTCCTTTTTTTTGATCACTGCACGGATATAACTGTGTATGTTAATCCAACCTAATTTAGTTTCAATCATTCTTTCAATCATTTCTCTCACTGTAACAAAATTCACACCTGTCTCTCTCTCCATTCTGTTCCTTTCCACTATCCATCTGCTGCAATCTAACATCGTATGTGTCACAGTGTCCGAGTATCCACAATATAGGCATTCATCTGTATCAGCCTTACCGATCCTATAAAGGTAGGCCCTAAAACACCCGTGTCCTGTGAGCACCTGCGTCAGGAAATAATCCAATCGCCTGTGGTCACAGTCCACCCAAACTCTTATGTTAGGGATCAGCATTTTTGTACACTGTGCCACATCCTCCGTATTGTTCCATTCTTCTTGCCATCTTTCAACTGACCTTTCCCTTACCTGTCTTCTCTCAGACACAGTAAGGTTTGGGCCTCTTCTCTCATAAAGCTCTTTTCTTTCCACCGCCAAAACATGCAACGGAACACATCCAGTGATGGTCCATAAGGCTGCCGCAGACACAGTCCTGTAGGCGCATGCCACTCGCAACAGACTTGTTCTGTCTACTCGTTTTATAAGACTCCTATAGACGCCTAGCCTGCCTAGCTTGAACCTTAAGCCAGCAGAATCGATCCCCTTAAGGTTAGTTTGGTGGCGAAAAATTATTAGGGTGGTAATAAATTACTGAAAAATGGGTGAAAAAATATGCCATCAACAAAAAGTTTTTTTAAATTCTGCTAGCTTGAACCTTAAGCCAGCAGAATGGCTCCCATTAAGGGTGGTTTGGTGTGAAAAATTAATAGAGTGGTAATAAATTAGTGAAAAATGGGTGAAAAAATATGCCATCAACAAAAAGTTTTTTTTTTTTAATTCTGCTAGCTTGAACCTTAAGCCAGCAGAATCGCTCCCCTTAAGGTTGGTTTGGTGGTGAAAAATTATTAGGGTGGTAATAAATTAGTGAAAAATGGGTGAAAAAATATTACGTAGGTTAAATTGGATTCCGCTCATGTGTCCCCGCTAGCTTAAGGGTCCTGTTAAACTGACTACTGGCAGTGAATGGATTAAGGTAAGTACTTACATTTTAGATTTTAGTTTAATTTAGGCACCTAAATTAATAAATAAAATAATCATATAGAAAAAATTGTTTATTAAAAAGACAAAAAGGATTTTACAAACGAATATAGTCTTTCGAAGCGTCTAGGTTTGCCGTTTAATTAGTTAAGGGAGTTGATATGGTCGGATATCATTCGTACTCTAAAGTGATTCAGACGAAGAAAAGTTAAGTTGTCAAGACTGTTGTATTTGGATTGCCAGTTGTGGTGCAGGTACTAATAAAGAGGCCTAGTTTTGCTCTCCTGAAGGAGACAGGAGTCCATACAAATATTTTTGCACATCCATTCGAAATTTGAACTTATTTCTGGGTGTAAGTTGTTTGACATAGGGAAGTAGGGAATATGACGTCATCATTAGGGTTCTGCGACAGTTTCTTTACTCTTAAACCTAGATTTTCTTTTTCGATTTTAACTAGCTGCTTTACAATTTCTATTTGTATTATTCGACGTTTATAGCTCGTTCAAGAAATAGAAGAATTTTTTGAAGTACTTGATGTAGACGAAGTCACACCTTGTGACTCAGAATTAGGGTTATTCACATTTACTACTAACGTAGACGTAGATCCTTTATCATCACTATAATATTTTTCTGTGTTTTCTGTATTTTTCTTGTGTTTTATCAATTAAATTCCTAGATAATTGACGAGATGTAAATTGATCGCACAGAAAATGTAATTTTTCAAAATAGGACACCTACAAAACTACTTCATCTTCTGCTTCATCTCCTGACAGACACTAAATTTTCTTTTTTTTGTTTTCCACATTTTTTTCTTAAAATTTTCCAGCATTTTTGT